TCAACCAGCATCCCCAAGTCCTTCTCCTCAGGACTGCTCTCAATCCATTCTCCACCCAGCCTGTATTTGTGCTTGGAATTGCCCTGACTCAGGTGCAGGGTCTTGCACTTGGCCTTGTTGAACTTCAGGAGGTTCACACAGGCCCACCTCTCAAGCCTGTCAAGTCCCTCTGGATGGCATCCCTTCCCTCCAGCGTGTTGACTGCACCACTCAGCTTGGTGCTGTGGGCAAACTCGCTGAGGGTGCACTCAGTCCCACTGTCCATGTCGCCAACAAAGACATCAAACAGTGCCGGTCCCAATACCGAACCCTGAAGAGCACCACTTGTCACTGGTCTCCTCTTGGACATCAAGCCATTGACCGCAACTCTTTGAGTGCGACCACCCAGCCAATTAGTTTTCCACTGAGTGGTCCATCCATCAAATCCACATCTCTCCAATTTAGAGAAAGGATGTTGCATGGGACAGTGTCAAATGCTTTGCACAAGTCCTAGTAGATGACATCAGTTGCTCTTCCCTTATCCACCAATGCTTTAATCCTGTCATAGAAGGCGACCAAATTTGTCAGGCACAATTTGCCCTTAGTGAAGCCATGTTGGCTGTCACCAATCACTTCCTTATTTTCCACGTGCCTTAGCATAGTTTCCAGGAGGGTCTGCTGATATTGTAGCTGCTATTCGTTTCTTTTCATCTTGGTCTGAAGTGTATTTCTCCCTCCCTCCTTCCCTTCCTCCATCGCTCTCTCTTCCTCTCCCTCCCTCCCTCCCTCTCCTTTTCTCATTCTCTTTCTTTCTCTCTCTTTTTCTCTCTCCTTTTCTCCTTATAATCTTGGCTGAGGTATGTCCCATAGCCATCGAGATTTTTAACAACTGTTTTAAACACCATTTGTGCCCTGTCAAAATTTAAATTGATAAAAGTTTTATTATGTGAGTTAGAAATCAATTAAGCTATTGGCGGTTGTATAAAAAATAAAGTAAAAACTCCCTTAATATTTAATACATAAATTTCAAGTCATGAAAGATTTTTAAAATATTTAAAACTATCATAGCTAAAAAAAGGTAAGTGATCATAGTATCTGCCTTTTAGTGTCTGTGTAGCTGAACTGGATCATTTTGAAGGGCACTGAGTTTTGGTGCTGAAAATTCAGACATGCAAAATCATAGCACATTTTTCACATCTTTTGAGTACATAGTTTTGTCTGAAGTCAGATAATATTTTTCTTTTAATCTCATGCAGTAAGCCTCTCTGTTTAACTGTAATTTGATCTCTACTCCAAAAATACTTCATTCCTAATGTTTTTCTGTTCCTCATCCATGAAGATATTAAACAGATTTTTACACATAGGACTTCATGCCTGCATGTGTATTTTCAAACAGTTGTTTATTGCGTGACTAGATTTGACACAAATCTTGGCATGTTCTCCTAAAAGATCCTGCAACTCATGTCTGCTTTAATTTGCTTTGTTGGCTCAATTAAAAATTATGAACGTGTTGTGCGAAGAACTAGATGAGTTGTATAAATCTTCGTTGACAGGATTGTATTCAAAAACTGTTAAGTTTTGTTTCTCACTATAAAGTGTTGGATGAAAAACATTTCTTCAATTACTCCAGAAAATTTTAGTTTCAAGCCAAGCAGCTTGCTGTTTATTTTTCATCCATTCTTACATTTATCTTGCATGATGTCTATTGTAGATATCATCTTTACAAAATGAATGATGTTGCACTCGATTCCCTTAAGAAATCTAGGAGATGATGTATACCTGGGCTAATCCCAAGGGAAAACAAATGTGCTAATTTGAAACCTGCTAATTTTCTAAGACTGTTGCGCTTCTTGAAACAGTTGTGGTTCCATTGCAGTTTGGGCAAAGTTGAAAGCAGCCAAACAAAACTCCATCTGTAAACCAATAAGGTGGAATTTTTATTAAAGAGTATCTTTCTGCAAGTCCCTAAAATTTTTATCTTAGAAATTTTTTCTAGGATGGCAGAGTGGTTTAAACCTTGGTAAGGGAATGTGGAAATTGCTGGAATGTGGAAATTCATATTCAGCCCAGGTTTGTGGACCCTAAAGAAGATGGAGGGTGGATCCTTTGGAAGTGGATCTTCCAGGATGTTGATCTTTTGTACCTTTACATGTTCCACTTTTCCTGGTCCCTAACTTCTCTGAAGCTCTGATATGCATGATATCGGTGGGGTTGTTTGACCTATTTTTTTCAAGGTTTTCGACAGGTGGAAGTATTATGTAGAATGCCCTGGCAGTAGAAGCTGACAGACTAACAGGGACTCCTTAGCTCTGCTCGCCCATGAGGAACAAAGAGGCAGGTTGGCCTCTTCCCAGCCCTGCTGATACCCAGACTTTAGTGCCGACATGATGCCTGTGGGAAGGCAGAGGTGGTCAGTAAGCAACCTCTCCTAAAAATCCCTGTTTAAGTGTTTGTAAAATCATTACAAGGGGAATGAGATCTGGATGCACGATGGGCAACAGAGTGTCATCCCTATTGCTATCCCTTTCTGTACTACCTCCAAAAAGATTCCAGAGAAACGAGAAGCCCCCTTTCTTTCTTCCTTGCCTCCCTTTGCTCATATAATAAACATGGGACAAAGTAAATGTATGGCTCTCTTCCAGCCTTTTCAGTTTGATGCTGTGCTAGTGCACACCATTTATGATCAAAGTTACAAAGACCACTGCTGCTTCGATGATTTTTTAACTCTCTGAATGGTTTCCTTTCTAGGATAATTATTTTTGTTACCTTTAATGGAAATAAAACTTTTAGAAAAGCAGTTGCACCTAGTCTAAACAGCTTTACTCACAGTGCGTTTTTCTTTTTGTTCAGGCTTCTTACAAACCGCTGCTGAAACAGGTAGTGGAAGAGATCTGTAATCCTGATCGACCTGATCCTGTTGATATTGAGCATATGTCATCAGGCCTCACCGATCTCCTTAAAACTGGATTCAGCATGTTCATGAAGGTAAACCAGGCTTCCCAACCTCATCTGTAAGATTTTCCTGAGGTCATAGCATCATATGGCAGTAGTTAATTTTCTGTATTTGAGTTGATATTGTTCAGCAGAACTAAAAGGGCAGTTAGGAAAGTCAAATCCTTGCAAGGGGGCTGGAAATAGCTTGAGGCACCACTTTGCAGGTACAGTACAGATGGGTAGCACCTGCTAAACAAAACTAGAGGAATGGAGCAGACTGGACACATAAATAAGGGTGATGCTGGACACCTAAATAAGGATGATATGTCTGGGAGGAGGCAATGTGGCATTGCTAAAGGGAAGACCTACCTCGCGTAGCTTTCGGAGCTTTTCAGAGACACCCAACAAGCAAATTGATTTCCAAAAGGCATTCCACAAAGCACCTCATCAAAGGATTTTAAGGACATCAGGCAGCCTTGAGATAGGAGAGAAGTAAGTATGAACAGTCACATCTCACAGAGGAGGAAGGTTGTCAGAGGAGCTCCATATTCAGTGCCTTTTCTATAACTTGATACGGCTCAACTTGCAGTGGGGAGGAAGGAAGCCTATTAGTCAGAAATTGCCTTGTGGATGCTCTTAGAGTGTTTGAAGATAGTCTTTCTACAAGAGCTTACTCTGCTTTACAAATTAGCCTATGCTAAGTGTTTGTTAAATGTCTACAGAGATGGAGTGTGGAGTAGCTAGCATTAAGCTCTGTCTTACTGCATATCCTGAGTTTTCCATTGAAAACGACACCAAATTTACATCAAACCACATCGATACTATGGTTATGAGTACAGTGCGTTTCTGTACTAGTGTTCTTCTTCCAGTTTTACCACCACCACCCCTCAGCACAGAAGAGGCACCAGCAAACTGTACAAGAGACAGTGGACACAAGTTGCAGCAAGGGAAATTCCAGTTGGTTATGAGGAAAAATTGTTCACCATGGGAGTGGTTAAGTCCAGAGAAACTGTGGATTCTCTATCTCTGAGATATTCAGTTGGCCGAACAAAGCCCTGAGCAACCTGATATAATTTTGAAGTTGGCCCTGCTTTGGGCAAGGCGGTGGACTAGATAAGCTACAGAGATTCCTTCCAACCTGAATTGTTCTGTGATTCTGTGGTAATAGAAAAGAAAAAAGTGTTTTCCGTTTTATGCGAATGCCTGCTGGGCCTGCCATGCATTTAAAGGCAGGTGACAAAAATAGTTTTGACTGCAGTGTTGGTACTATTCTAGAACCCACTATCAGAATAACGAAGTTATTTTTCTGTTATTTCAGAGCAAATTAGTCTCAAGCACAAGATCAGATATGCCTAAAATCCAGTGCTTGTTTTCAGGAATCTCTGTCCACTGTTGAAATGGATTTCCAAGATGTATTCAGTTAGGTTCGTACATGGAAATTCTCAGCTCTTCACAGCTTATGATAAAGTCCTGAGACAAAAGAGGACAGCTACAGAAATAGCGACCCAATATTCTTTCCATTCATATCTCAGTAGTGAAAACATTCATGCCAACCCTCCAAAATTAGTAGAAGAAAAAACAGATGTTCCACCTTCAAACAAAATAAACAAGCTGGTGCACACAAGTGATTTTTTAAATGATTGTTTTATTTACCAGTAACTCTCACAATTGTATAATTGTATTTATTTGATTGTGTTTGTTTATTGATATTTTTTTAAGCAGGAATATAGCTTGTCCTTCTTTTACAAAAAAAAAAAAAAAAAAGAAAGACAAAAGCAAGAAACATAAGGACTCCAGAAAGTCTAAATAGTTAGATCGAGACATCGATACCTTTGGCTAGTTTGAGGTCTGCTCTATCCTTATTAATAATTTGTGTGCATGTATCACATAAGTATCTTATGGCAATATGTACCTGTAAGTACCTGCATCTCTACTAGTAAGAAAAATATCCTACTATAAGGAATATGTAACAGATGAGCAAGTGAACCTTGTGTAGGATGAATATTTCATAGGCATCATCATATACCTCACAAATACGTGTTCATGCTCACTCATTTAGTTTGTAGCCTGACTTGTTGACAAGTCCTGGATTATTACGTGAATGAGTTTCTGACCAGCCTGTATTTCTCACACAAGAGGATCTCCTCCATTTGCCGCACTATCAGCATGGTAATTATTTTCTGAGCTTCCTCATATTCTTATTTCTTCCTCAATACCTGAATATAAATGCCAACTGACATAAACATGCTTTGGTAAGTGATGGACTCAGACGTGTTCATCCAGGACAGACTTTTAAAGGTATCTCTCATCCAGAAGTTGTTTCTTTGGCAGATGTGTTTGTTTTGAAGCTAATGGAAGGTGAAGGGAAAAAGCCTCCCTGCTGCAAGGATTCCTCTTTTGACTGCTGCTCTAGACCACTGATGTTTTATAATGATCTGAGCTTGGTATCATTGATACCAAGTGCCCTGCACGACAGCTGTTTCTGGTGATCGATGTGTTTTCCTTTCTCTAGTTATTCAGCTAAATTAGTTGGTTGCCTGCTGGTCAAAAATACCAGATGCATTGGTGCTGGTGTCCTGGTTGGCAGAGTTAGCCCTCACCAGACAGTGAAGGTTGCTTCTGCTGACTTTCCTCAGAGGAAAAGGCTGTGTTTTGTGAGCTGCCATGAGCCATGAGAACAAACCTGTCCTCCAACCCTTGCTTCAGTTTTAGAGTTTTGTTGACCGCTGTCCCCCGGCTTTCCCGTCTCCTCCTCTCCATGTCCTCCACGCAGACACATGCACCAGCAAAGAGCCCTCTAACCACCAGCGTCCTGAGGAAATGCAGGGTGGTGGGCTCGGAGCTGGAGAGAAGGCTCTGATGTCCAGCTGGGACACTCTGCTGACTCAGGGAACCATTTCTCCTTCTTCCTTTGGGCTCCTTCATTTCGATGCAATGGTTTTGCTTTTTTCTTGGTTAGTCTTTCTAATTGCCTGAGATAACTGTCCCGATTATTTTTAATGCATGGCATTTTGAACTGAAAGTGAATTTCACTTGGGGATTTTTGCAAAATTCAGATTTCACAGTAAATGGGATTCAGAGCCTTGGAAATGCCCCAAAACAACAGAACTTTAGAAGGATCCCAGAAGGTACACATTGCTTTTGTTGCAGTCCATTTCAGTTCTTCTTCTGTATCACAGAAGTGAGTTGTGTTTAGCTACACACAGTCAGTTCCTTCAAAAGAGAGAGCCTTGGGTGGTTGTTTTATCAAACAAAAAAATCTTGGCAGAAACTTACATTCTTAATACAGCCAAATATTTTGTACCCAAAGCATTGTCCTCCTTCAAAACACTTGTGCATAGCATAACAAAATTACAGATTCCAAGACCCTTTTCATTGCAATTTTAATTTAATTTAGAGTTTGCATGCCTAATAGTTTTTTTAATATGCATTTCTGGAATTTGTGGTTTGAACTTTAGTCTTCTGAACAATAATAAGTTTTATATAGGCACCATGTGTTTGGATCTAAGTTTATTTTGACTGAAGGAAATGATTTGTCAGGACATTTTCTCTTTAGTATTGCCATGAAAGCTTGTGTTTTCCGATTAATATTCTGATACTGGGTGTACTTTCAGCATGTCCAATGTTATGCACGCATGTTTATGATGAGTTTGTTGTCACTAGGAAAGACATTAAGAAATAGAGGCTTTATTCAATAGCAACCCTCTGAAGCTTGAGCTCTTTGCGTAAGTCTTGGGTCATTCAGAAGCTTCGTGAGATGGAGTGGAGCTATTTGCTCTGGTGACAGGGTTAAGAAGAGCAAAGAGCCATGAAAAGGAGTAAAACAGTAATTCCTGTATTACTTCGAAGTGCCATAGCAGAGCGTTTTATCAACTTTTATCTTCACCGTCTTTGTGAGCAGTTTTTTCTTTAACCTTGTGTCACTGCTTACAGCAATTATGGCGTGAAATACTGTAATATTTTAGCAAGTAATAGTTCTATTTGGCATGCTTTGTAAGTAAATACTTAGGTATTATTTAAACTCCTCATGGTGTTTGTAATAGGAATGAACTTTTTTTCATTTGAGGCCGACATTACGTTGTACACAGATAGTAAAAAGCAAGAAGTCTGATGTGGGAAAGTGCATAAAGAAAGTCTTTGTAAGCTCTGGTGTATCCATTTAATTGATCTGTTGGTATAGATGGAAAATTGCTCAGTATCACACCAGAATTGCAGGACTCACTGCTGAATTGTATTATATATGCTATATCTGTGCCATTAGTTCAATGAAGATGGCTGGCAAAGCGGGGGCGATTGAGAGCATAAACACCCAGTACACAAATACTCAGCTCACTAATCATCTATCTAAGGCTTTTTGTACTGGTTTCAAACTCCCAGGGAGTTCAAGAGCTCGTTGCCTGGGGAGCACCATTAAACAGGGAGCCTTGTGTAATCAAAGGCCAGCTAGCCTGGAGAGACAGCATGCCATCTCCCCGTGCTTGCTTCAGAGGGATGAGTTTCTGCTGAAGGTTGCCAGTCAGAAAGCCTGACAGAGCTGCAGGATGAAAAACTGCCCAAAGAGTAAATATAGGGCAGCCACAATAAGGAAGAGAAGAAGAGCTGTACCCTCAGGAGCTGAAGCCACAGGGATCAAAGATAGTTGCCGTGGTGGTGAAAGAAAAGGAACCACACTCTGCCCAAACATGGGTTGATGACCACTTTCATTCTGTCGAGTGAATGCTGTTGAAAACCTACGCTTGTGGAAGAAGAGGGAGCGGAGAGTCTAAAAAGGAGCAAATTAAACTCTTCTCACTGTCACTTTTCAGAGCCAAACATTTAGAGTCTTTCATACTCAAAGGTAATGTGACAAGAACGATTGCATGAGCTCCGTTGACATCACTCCCAAAGACTGGAGCGAGGCATTGTCAGGGGAGTGTGTTTCATCAAGAAAGAAAGAGTTTGCTAGGAAACAGCAAAGTAATCAAACTTCTACAAGTGGTTAAGAGGAAACTGATGTAAAGAATCACCTTCACATTTAAAATTAAAAGGCAGTTTTATAAAGTCTTAACTGAAGTGGAATGTTTGTACCATTTTAATGCTAATTGGGGAAAAATGAAACAAGTACTTTGTTTGAGCTAACGTTTCTCTGTATTAGTTACAACCCAGTCATAGAAGTATTGAAAACTCTGAAGTGAAACAAGCTGGTAACTGATGGACCTGATTTATTTTCATTGGATGAATTGTAAAGCATTACTTGATGGACTGGTGAAAACACATTCCTTACGATTCTTTCCATTGCTGACCTTAGGCAGGGATTCTAGCACATTTAGGCTGGACTCCTTGCTTCTACTGGGTAGTAATTTATTCCTCATTCCTTAAAGCCTCATGCGTACCTGTATCCAAACTGTGCATCCACCCAAGTCCTCTCCTCTCACTCTGGGAAAAGGAGGAAAGTCATGAATAAGGAATGGAGGGAGAAGCCCTCAGACCTCATGAGAAATTTCCCTGGGTTTCAGTGGAAGCTGTGAAGACTCCATTTCCCTGGAAACAGTTCATTAGTTTTAACTGAGCATCATCCCCATTGATTTCCCTCTCAGCTGCTACAGAAACCAGCATTCCATGAATATTTCTTTCTGAGCTTCCTTATTAGTCTTCCTGCAGCAGCTCAGGGAGCTGATCACTACTAGTCCATAGGTTTGGAGCTGGACTGAGCAACTACAAATAACGCTTTCCTTCATTTTACAGGTGAATCGCCCTCACCCTGGTGATCATCCTCTTCTGATCATCTTTATGGTTGGTGGAGTGACAGTCTCCGAGGTCAAAATGGTGAAGGATCTGGTAGCAACACGCAAACCTGGTACCCAGGTAAAAATAGCTCTAAATGTACAGTTTCTATCTGAACAAAGACTAAGAAAATTAATCAGATAATGTTCCCTATAGCACTGGTACCAAACCTACACAAAGCCACAGCCACACGGACAGGAACGGTGTTGGGATTTTGCTGTGAAACATCTGTAGGCAATAAGCGTTCAGGCACCAAGGGTCTGTTTTTCACATGTTAGAGTCAGCAAGAAAAGTTCAAACTCGGGTTGGAGAGTTCAGAACAGACTGGCATTATTCTGAAAGAGCTTTCATCATGTCTCAAAAGATTCGTGTCTTTGTGTTCTTTATAAACACGAACATTTGCTGTCCAAAAGGCTACAGGCTCCCTGGCAGTACATCTGCAGGACGTAGTAGAGGGACGCTCAGAAGGAGCCTGCCAAGGGCCTGGGTGCCACCTAATGACTTAGCAGTGGTGATCCTGTAGACAAGTTAATTAGCATTGCTGAGGAGCAAAATAAATTAGCCTGGATACAGCTGTACTGTTTCTGGGCCAGGCCAGGTATCTCTGATGATAGATGCCTGACTGCTAGATGCCTTAAGTAGCCTGAAGCAGGTGATGTGGAGAAAGCCCCGAGTCTCTGCAGCCCTTGGATGTCCTGTTGGACTCCTGGAAGGAGGATAGATCCCGCAGTGAAGCTTCAATAGCACCTGTGCAGCTGGTCTTTGCCTCGTCCGCTCTCTGGCAGCGGAACTTGACTACAGGAGCTGTCATCTGAATGGAATGGGGAGGGAGAGGAGGAGGATGGATGAGCACTGGTGGCTTCTGAGATATTAAAAATCATTGTTAATTGTGGAGGAGCAATCCAGTATCTGCTGAGTAGTGCAGCTACACAGGGTAATCTGAAAACTGCAAAGAAATGCTGTGTAACCAGCTGCATCATAAACATAACTCTGGTTTCCAGAGTGGCTTGTAAACATCTTGTTCTCAATTCCTATGGAATGCAGTTTTGATTAGTGAGAAGTCGTTAGCAAAATGGAGCCAACCAAAGGCAGAGCAGCCCCTCGGGTTGACATGTGTTTTCCATGTTTTAGTTGTCTTTGCAAGGCAGCCTTAAGCAGTATTTTATAAGACGGAGTGCCATTTTTGGCAATGTTTTTTTTGATCTGATAACACGTTTCTCCCCCATTAGCCTATTGCTAATCTCCTCAAAACAGTAAATGAAATTCTTTCCCCTCTTGGAGGGAGATTGAGTTGTGACACACTGATGGGCAAGTTAATCCACACCCAAAATGTATTCATACACCCTGAAAGATAAGCAGAGGGTTAACACGTGAGTTGGTTGAGAACTATGCAGGAAGACTTTGGACTGGCTTTCTAGAGGGACTTGAGGCTTCACAGTGGTGACATGGGATCTGGTGTTGCTTTGCTTCGGCTTAACCCTGGCAGCAGGTCATCCTCTGAGGCGGATTCCTAAAGAATTTTAAGCTTTTACTGCATCTTGCCCTTTGTCCAAATGTGCTGTGTTAGAGGTGAAAGGACTTCAGGGGAGAGGTGGGAGGAGGAAGAAAAGAAGAAAAGAAGCAGTTGTGCAAGTCTCTTGTATAAAAAAAGTTTATGAGTGTTGGATTTACCTGGATTTCTGCACTATAACTGTGAATATGTGCCACCTGTTTGGGATTATTCTCTTTTCAAAAAGTCAGGCATTTGTCTAACTTGAGCCAGCGTTTAACAGAGCTTTTTTGTGGTGTTCAGGCAATCAGGTTCAGGCATCAGGGGAACACTGGCCTCCCAAGTCCCTTCCAGTCAAACAAAGCACTGACATTTATACTAGTTATTGGCTTTTGGAGAAATGGAGAGATGTGTGGGTGCAGAAGTAAAGAATTGAGGAAAGTAACAGAAAAACTGACAGGACGCACTGATTACTTCAGCAGTTATTTGGAGTTGAGGCAAATGACATTTAAATGTGGAGTAGGAGACACATGTTTACATCCACAGAACTGCTTTGCATCTGACTATGAATGACAATTGTATTTCTCATGGAGGAGCACAAAGGAATACAGCATTTCCTACGCATCATTTGGTTTTGGATGGTGGTGAATAGCTCCCCTAACCTAGTGAGAAGTATTCTACTTTCAAAGGAAGAAATGACCTTTTTTTTTTTTTCCGCTTTAATCAAGAGAGTAAAAAAGGGAAAAGAGCCTGAGTGGATGTTTCACCCTCCCTCCTCCCAACACGCACAGCCATCTGTGTGGTTGTGGCTGCGGCAGGCAGACAGATGAGCCCCTCCAGATGCACCATCAGATGTTAGCTGCATCCTTCCCTGCCCTCTGCCGAGGGCGAGCTGCCCATTGCAGCACAGTGAGTCCGGATGGGAGCTCCTGTCTCCTCTGTCTTGGCTGCCATTGGGAGGGATAGACCTTCAGGTGAAGCATCAAAGACAGGCATGCTGTACTGAACAGGGAGAAGGTCTGCAAAGGAGATATACACTGTCCTGAAGACACCTCCCTGGAGAAGAGATGGGCATTACCTATCTGGCCAATTCGCCCCTTCTCTGTAAAAATTGAAGGAACAAATATCCACATTTATCCCCCTCAGTGAGCCCTCAGAGATATTGAGGGGAAAAGAGGGAAGTCCCACTATATTTGGCTCCGTCCTTTCTCAGACGTTGAAGTTGCAGATCTCATTTTTCTCTCTGGGCTTGCTATTAGTTGCACAAATCCCCTCAGGGTTCAGTGGTGGGACTCCAAGAAGAAATTGCTGTTATCTGGCAGTGGCTATTGTTGATGTTTGGCTTGTACACCCAAAAAACTTCAGTAACGTGTCCGCTCGTGTTTTTCAGAACTAAGCTGCATGATAACAAGATGAGCACATACTGTCTCGTGTAACATAAGTAAGACAGTGTCAGCCTTTGACATCTGCAAATTACAGAGTTTTTCAGCCATAGGAAGGAAAAGAGATAAACAGTGTCAGTTTGCTACAGATTGTGTGGGAGGACAAGGGAAGGGGAAAAGTGCGGGGGAGACTATCATCAGTACAGAAGGGATCCTTTCATTATTTGAAGTGAAAAGATGAAAGAAAGAACAACAAAAAAGTTGAAATGCAGCACTACCACACATATAAGCTGTGTGATGAAGAGCACAAGTGGTTTGATAGCTACTGCAGGAAAGAGACCCATAGACATACTCTGTTGCTGGTGCATGTGATTCCTCTCCTCAGATTTGCAGTGAAGAAGCAAATTCATTTTCAAGTGGGCTATTAAGATAAATTTGCCCCCGCATCCCTGCCTGCAGTCCTGACCCTACAAACACTACTGAACTTGGGGCTTTGTAAGAGCAGTGTCCTACGACTTCAACCCTAGGTCAGCTCCACATAGCAGGAGCATATGCACTCGCTCCTTGCTGATAGCTTTGCCCTGCAGAGGAGCCTTCACACTGGGCACCTGCCTACTGGTTTTTACTTAAGAAAAACAGATACCTGCATCTGGCAGGGTGTGCATCATGGCTGTAGTGAGCGATGGTTTTGTTCATCAGCCCCATCTTGGATTAAAAACTTGACTGAACAAAAGCAATAGCATCCCAGTGGTGCTCGGGGTTGAGCTTTGGTCCTGATGTGCAGAACAGCCTGTGCCTGGTCTGCAGAGATATTTCTGAGCAGGGACTGTGGCTCCATGCAGCAGGCCGGCGGCACTTCTGTGGTGCTCACCTTCCCTTCCACTGAGGGGAAACGGCTGTCACTCAAATCTCTGCTATAGGAGAGGAAACCCCTGCTTCATCAGCTGGTGCCTTGCAGTAAACACAATGGTAGTCACAACAAATCACCGGGTAAGAGGTGGGTAGAAATGAGTCAAAGCACACATTCATTAAGAGTACAATGCTACCAGTCATTATGTGCCTTAAAGTGCTTTAATTACAGTTATTAGCGAGCAGGCAGTTTGACTGGGCAAGTTGTATTGCCCTGTCAGTAAACACCAGAAACACACAGTCTGTCTAGCGCTGGGTGAAGCAAACAGTTCGTATTCACGGCTCATTAGTACTGCGATCACTCTCAGTCCCCTTCGTTTTGACTTGTTGTTTCTTGTCCCGCTTCTTTCAGGTAATTGTGCTCTCCTCTGCACTCCTGACACCACGTAGTGCTATTGAGTTGGTGTTTGCCACAGACCGTCTCCAGTCTGACACCGATATCTGATGGGGGAGGATCTGTGGAGAAGATGAGTGAGTGTCTCAGCTGGAAACATCAAATCCCTGGTCTGTCGCTCTTCCCAATAGCCTTCCAAAAAATGACATGTCCCCTGCTGCAGTTATGGCTCCAGCTGAAACGGGGTGAAGCCGCTGGGTGTCCGGCTGCGAGGGCACACGTGCAGCTCACAGGTAGCTCTTGGAAATGGTCCGGTTGTCCAGCGACAACTCCCCCCTCCTTAACGGTAAGGCTGTGCGGTGCTGAATCACCCCAGCCCCACTCTGCACAGCAAGGATAATCGCTTGTAGTAATTCCCTAGAAAAGGAGCAGCAGAGGACCAGGTGATGCTGAATTTGCACTCCCCAAGCAGTACTTTTTTCTCTGAGTATTCCTGTTGTTTTCGCTGGGGTTGCTTCTGGTGGGAAATGTTGCTGAGGGAGTGAAAGGCTAGCAAAATCCACCCTCTCTGTCATGTTACCTTGCACAACACGTGTGCCTTATACAGCCATAACTGCCTCTGCTCTTACTTCATCCCTCACCCCAGAAAGGCGATGGAGCACAGCCCTGATGTAGCCGGCAGAGCAGCTCCCAGTCCGGTGATGCTCTCCCAGCAGGACTGGTAGAGGCAGAAGCAGAGAGCCAGCCTCAAGGGCTGGGTTACGAGGCTGCTGCTCTCTCAGCTTCCCGTTTCCTGCTCTAGTTTCTCCACCCACAGTCCCGGGAGAAAAGACTGCTTCTGGTGGCACACTTTTCTGCAGGTTTACGCAGAAGGACATATGGGCTGTGATGGTTTGATGATAATCCTGGAAGAATCCTCCCCTCACATGCATTTAAAAAAGAAAAAGAGAGAAGAAAAAAAAAGGCATGATCCCATTTTCAAGAGGCCACAGCACAGATTCTTTCTTGAGCTAGATTTCTGAACAGCATGATTAGAGAACAGCTTTTATTTTTAATGTATCATCATGAAAGAGCCGCTATCAAATTCAGTTATGTAATTTTTCTTTATAAAACTTTGCTACAATCTGTGATTAAAAAAGCAGCAGCCAATAGAGACTGTGATTGCATATAGCACCAAGACTTCCGAATTGCATCATAAAATGGTGGAGCTCTAAAGCTGCATCCTCTTGCTTCATCCAAGGGATGCTAAGACTACAGCTTACACTGAGATGAGAATGTGAAATTATAAGTGACATTCCTTCTATCATAGCATTATTCATTATGCCAAAGGAGTAGAATAAATGGGAAGGAGCTTTTTAACCTTTGTTCACTAGCTAGCCTAAGTTCTCTTAAATGTTTATAATGGTCTTCAGAAAAGGGTGCATTTTGATTTAAATTCACTTTCGAGTGGCTGGAAGGAAACAGTGGACCGATTATAAAGTATGGACAATGTCGCCTCTATGGAAGAGAAATTTATAAGAATGACTATAGAATGGAACTTTGTGCTATAAAAAATGAGAAATATTGTGAGACCACAATGTTAAAAGCTCAAGAAATAGTTTGAATGGAGCAACTGGAAAGCAAATAGCCAGTCTCTTGATTTCTTTTCTGTCTTTCTGTACTGTTTAATCTTAGAATATGGATGTTTTGTAATGTCTGTAATCAATAAAGCAATGCTCTTACAATGCCAAACCTCATCTGCCTCTCCTTGTCTCCTAGTATGCAAGGCTACACATGCCAGGACTGCGTATTCCTGTGACCTGTTTTTCTTTTGCATGATTTGATTGCTCCCAAGAACCTAGACCTTCCACCCTGGGAGATGTCCTAGAAGGTTTTGCGTACCCTGCTGGTAGCAGAAAGGCTCCTCCATCCAGTGGCCATTGCTGACGAGTGAATTCAGGTACTCACACCTCTGAGCTGCTGCTGCTTTCCTGAGATGATGGAGACTGGCAGTTGTGGTCTTTTCTCCCTCACCTGTCTTTCATCAGATGCTCTCAGGTCTCTGACTTGGCCATCTAAGGACATACTGTATGGGATTGTGAGAAGGGCAGGGGTGAGTCTAAGCAGACGCTGGTGCTCTTGCACTTCCTATGGGTCAATTAGCTCCTCTGACTGAGAATAAGGCAAAGCGAGACTCGTTTTCCAGGCCCATATACACTTTGGAGGAATCTTTTCAGCCAGTGGGGCCACAGCTGCAGCAATGGATGCTGGGACACAGCCACCATCTCATACTCAAGTAACTGAACAGATGAAAGAAGATGGTCACAAAAGCCTGCTCGTCTTCTAGACCAAGACTGGAGTAGAGTGTTTCCAGTGGCCCTAGTGTAATAGTTAGCTCCTTATTTGTAGGAAATAGCTGTAGTAGCTACACATAGCCTGTGCTCGGGGAAAAGGCCAGGGGGATGGGAGATCTGCCAGTCGCATGTGAGTAGGAACGGCACAGAAGAGACTTTGCTTGGGCAGATGCAGGACCACGGCAAGGAGCATCTGAGCCCTCTGCATGTGATGCTAAGCGATACTCATAGGGTAGGAAGAGGAGAAAACACAAAGTCACCCTTAGCCCATGGGTTTAAGCTAAGCAGTATTCGGTAATAAGCTCAGACCGGAAGGACAAGCTCAGCTTTGCTTGTGAGTCTAGTCCTAAGTCACTTGGCTAGTAGCTCCTGGTCAAAAGGATTGTCATCAGCAGGACCTTGTCAGGCATTCCCTGCACCAGCTATTACTGCGGTGTGCTAACCGGGTGAACCTGCACAGCAGTCACCCTCATCCCAGCACAAACATCCTCCTCAGGAGGGCTCCCAGTAAAGCTACTTTAAACACAAATAAAATAGTTGAAGACTTGTAGTTTGATTAAGTTCTTCCTTGTGATATAGCTCAATACAGAAAGTTGCTTTTTTTAAAAAAAAAAAAAAAAAAGAAAGTAGCAGTCACTTAAAAGACTTAGTATTCTTCCAGATTTTGACTTACCTCACACCATTCCTTTCTCACTAGAGTTTTTTTTTTGACAAGGGAAATGAAGAATCCCATTTTAATTTGAAAGGTCTCTGCCTTATTCAGTTCAGCTCCTAAAAGGAATTTCTTAAAAGGAAGTTAAGGCAGTTGTGAGAGCTTCCCCCCCGCCCCCCCCCGTGGTTTATGCTAATAAAGCAACAGTATAGGCAGGAAAGGCCTTCGGACTGTTTCTACAATGTATGTTAACTACCTTGAGAAAACTATTACTTTGTCTGAACATTTCACTGGTTATTGCTCATCACTTCTCACCCATAAAGAACACACACAAAAACATGCAATTCAAAAATTTAATGTTGAACCAGGCAGTAAGAATGAAAAGTCCACTCCCTCTGAGGAGTAACTGTACACAAAATAAATAAGTTACAGTTTAAACAAAAGCACAACTGGCTTTTTAAAGTGCATGTGTGTAAGGCCTTTAGCCTGTGAACTCTATTGGCTCAATGTAAAAAAAAAAATTCCATACGTATAAATCTGCCACATGTTTAAGGATGAAGATGGACTGGCTCAGCTCAGAAAAAGCCACCAGCTTCATTGCCTGGAGCCAGCCGTGCTTCACAGCGAGCTGAATCACAGCCATGTTCCTTCTGTGCCTGTTGCACACAGAGAAGTGTTTTACACAGGCAGCTATAATGGATTGTGTCACTCCAACTCCAGGCTCATTCCTCAAAAGCTCCATGTTGGATCATTTAGTCTGGACAGTATTTTTTTCAGACAGTAAAAAAACCAACAAGTTATTTGTAATTAGATATGTTTACACCCTGCAGACAGTAATTTTGCATACAAAGAGTCTGGTCAAGTTGTCAGCAATAACATAGCTAGTAAAAAAAGGACCATTGTTTACAGTCTTGATAGTCAGTTGTGTCCACTTATTTTACACTTATTTTTACAGAACAATTTCAAGTTTGCTTATTTGTTTTGAAATACATGGGAAATAAACAGTTCTACTGTGCAATAAACAGATACATCATGCTGTCCATCCATGTGAAAACAAGACTGAAGTGGTTACTTCTGAACAGTGAACTGCAGTTCAGGGCGTTTCCCTGCTCAAGTAGAAGGTGGGTTACAGCTAAAAAAGGTTGTTTCTGCACAAACAAAAGCCAAATCTGTTCAACTGGAGAAAAGGCAAACAAAGCTTGTTTCATTTGCTGAAAAGTTCCTTTTCCAAATGAAAATACTTGTTCTGCAAGTCACATCCTAGAACCATTTCAAGAGTTTTGAGTTGTTTTTTTTTTCCTTTTTCCAATCTGCTGCGGTTCCTTTTTTAGGCAACTGCTTGTTTCTACAGCCATGCAAAAGGCTACCTGAACCATCCTTCTTTCACAATGTCTCAGACTGGAGATCTGCCCGTGTTAAACACCCCAGGTTTCAGTCTCAGGCTAAACATTGGGAAGACCAGCGGCTCTGCCATCAAACAGAAGTGACAGTCCTCACTTTGGCAGACAAAGCTTGCTTAAACCTTCTCTTCAGATCCTGCATGTTGGGCGATTTTGGCCGTGGAATAAGAGAGGTTCTCCTCCTCTCAGGGGTGCTGGTTGTTTGCTGTTTACTGACTTCTTTACAGAGGAGATGGAAGGCATTGAAGACATCATTATAGTTTTCACTGACAGATACTTCGTAGAAAGTACAGCCCAGCATGTTGGCCAGCTGAAGTCCATGCTGCGGCTCCACCTCTTTGATATGCAAGAGATCAGCTTTGTTTGCGACAATGACAACAGGGACTGCATTTCCTGGATGCAGCTGTCGAACGTGATGGTAAAGGTGACTGAGTAGTTCATAGCTCTTATAGTCTGTGATGGAGAAGACAATCACCAGGGCATCTGCCCAGCGAATGCATCTGTTCAACTGCTCATTACAATGCAGACCGTGTTCATGGATCTGAAAAATGAATTGTCTCAAATTAGATAGCTGAAGTCATAAAAGATTAAAGGAACCTGCCTTAAGGAGTCTGTAAATCCAAATAGCATTTTACAGCTTCAGACATATATATTTGCGTTTCACATTCTAAGTACAAACTAAGTCTGAGCATGGTGAATAAATGCACATGTTGATTCAGCTGCAAAAAAAATGGAATTCAACACTGGAGCTTGCTATACTCAAATGGAAAATCAACCTGAGTAGTTCTGCATGCAGAGAAAGACTTTGTAGTTCCACAGAATGGGAAATTAACTG